TGGGGGGGGGGGGCTAATATATGATGACGGGAAGATGGTTTGACTTTAGGTGGTGAGCACACAGTGCAATACACAGAATGTACACTTGAAACCTATCTGATCCTATTAACCAATGTCACCCCAATAAATTTAATAAATTTAAAAATACCTAGGTGTTAATTTAATCAAGGAGGTAAAAAGCCAGTACTTTCAAATTTACAAACTAAAGGAAGAAACTGAAGAGTATACAAATAAGTGGAGCATATACCATGTTCATGGATATAAAAAAATTAACATCATTAAAATGTCCAGCCTGGCCGGTGTTGCTCAGTGGTGGAGTGTCAGTCCATGAACCAGGAGGTTATGGGTCAATTATCAGTCAGAGCATATGCCTGGGTTGTGGGCTCATCCCCAGTGGGGGGAATGCAGGAGGCAGCTAATTGATGTTTCTCTCCCACAAATGTTTCTATCTCTCTATTCTTCTCACTTCTTCTCTCTAAAATCAATAAAAATATATTTTTTGAAATGTCCCTTTTATCTAAAACAATCTATAGATTCAACGCAATTCCTATCAAAATACCAACAAAACTAGAATAATCCAAAAATTTATATGGAACCACAAAAGATCCTGAATAGCCTCAGCAATCTTAATGAAGAGGAACAAAGTTGGAGGTATCAAGCTACCTGATATCAAACTAACTACAAGGCTCTAGTAATCAAAACATCATGATACCGGCATAAAAACAGACACATAGATTAATGGAATAGAACAGAAAACTCAAAAATAAACCCATACCTAGATGGTCAGTTAGTATTTGACAAAGGAAGTCAAGAAAATACAATCGGGTAAAGACAGTCTACTAAATAAATGGTGTTGGGAAAATTGAACAGGCATATGAAAAAAAATTTAAACTAGGTGTTTAATTAAACTAGGCCACTTCTAACAACATATATAAGATTAAACTCAAAATGGATGAAAGACTTAAAGACTCGAAGTCATGAGACTCCTAAAAGGAAACACAGGCAGTATAATCTCCTGACATTTCTCTTAGCAATATTTTTCTGATATATCTCCTTGACCAAGGGAAACAAAAGAAAAAACAAAACAAATGAAACTACATCAAACTAAGAAGTTTTTGCACAGTAAAAGATACTATCAACAAAACAAAAAGACAGCCTACTGAATGGGAGAACATATTCGCCAATGGCACATCTGATAAAGGGTTAATATCCAAAATCTATAAAGGACTCATACAACCCAACACCAAAAAAACCCCCAAACTGAGAAGGCTAACCCCTATTTTGTAAAACTACTGTTTGGAATTCTCTGCTATTCTTTAGACGGCCTCTTATTCTAAAAAAATAACTTTGCTTTCTAGCCTGCTCTAGCCTGCTTGAATAATGAGGAAGATAAACTTAGCTGTCTGACCTTGTAAGCCAGGGACTAGATATGCCCATACTCCCAATGCCAGGCAAGGTGTATTTTTTAATTGGATAGAGCTGTATAGTTTCCAAGGCCACCAGTGAGATAACCACTAAGCACACACAGGGCTGGCTCTTTAATAAAAAGGGAAGTTATGCTTGTAGCTCTGCTTAGAATTTGAATTCATTTTCTCTAAGCCCACCGCGGTGAATAAAGTGTGACTCCAAACTCTCTGAGCATTGCTTGATTTATTCTGGTTCTCTGTAACAAATTAAAAGCACAATGAGATATCACCTCATATCTGTCAGAATGGCTATCATCCATAAACCAACAAACAAGTGTTAGCGAGGATGTGGAAAAAAGGGAACCCTTGTTCATTGTTATAGGTGGGAATTCAGACAGGTGCAACCATTATGGAAAACAGTATGGATGATCCATACTGTTTAACTTTTTAAAAATTAAAAATCAAACTACCTTATGACCCAGCAATCCCATTTCTCAGTATATAGCTGAAGAAACCCAAAACACTAATTTGAAAGAATATGTACACCCCTATGTTCACTGCAGCAACCCAAGTGCCCATCAATAGATCAGAGGATAAAAAAGCTGTCATACATATATACAATGGAATATTACTTGACCATAAAAAAGAATGTACTCTTACAATCTGCAACTGCATGGATGGACCCAGAGCAGTGGTTCTCAACCTTCTGACCCTTTAAATACAGTTCCTCATGTTGTGACCCAACCATAAAATTATTTTCGTTGCTACTTCATAACTGTAATGTTGCTACTGTTATTAATCGTAATGTAAATATCTGATATGCAGGATGGTCTTAGGCGACTCCTGTGAAATGGTCGTTTGACCGCCAAAGGGGTCGCGACCCACAGGTTGAGAACCGCTGACCTAGACGGTATTGTGTTAAGCAAATCAGTCAGAGAAAGACAAGTACCATATGATTTAACTTACATGTGGAATCTAAACTATATAAATGAAAAAAAAATACCACATTCAGATTCATAGATACAGAGAACAGACTAATGATTACCAGAGGGCAGCAGGGCTGGGGGACAGAGTGAAAAAGGTGAAAAGATTAAGAAGTACAAATTGGTAGTTACAAAATAGTCACAGGGATGTAAATTATGTATGGTGCCAGGTGGGTACTGGAATATATTGGGGAGCCACTTTGTAAAGTACATGATTGTCTAACCAGTGTGCTGTACACCTGAAATTAATACAAAAATATTATTGAAAAAAATTAAAACAGATTATACTGTAAACCAGCAACTGGACTCCTCGTTATCTACCTAGGAGAGACCCAAACAGACCCATGTTCACAACAGCATTATTCAAAATAGCCAAAAGGTTAAAGCAATCCAAGTGTTTATCAACAGATGGATAAACAAGTGTGGTATATATATACAATGGATATTAGTCAGCTATAAAAAGGAATGAAATTCTGATACATGCTACAACATGAAAACAACATACTAAGTATAATAAGGCACACGAAAGGAAAACTAGTGTTCGTTTCCCACTTATAGGTATCTAGAATAGGTAATTCACAGAGAGAAAGTAGAACAGGTTATTAGACACTGGTGGAGTGGAATGGGGAGTTACTGTTTAATGGGAATGGAGCTTCTGTTTGAGAAGATGAAGAAGTTCTGGAGAGGAATGGTGGTAATAGCTTAACAACATAGGGAATATACTTAATGGCACTGAGCTATATACTTAAACTGCTAAATATTGTTATATATGTTTTACCTCAATTTAAAGACATTAAGTAAAATTCAACAGAAGAAATACATGTAAGTTCTACTTAGTGCCATAAAGGGAGATTTCCACAACTCCTATGGGGAGGTGGTATAGCGTGGTGAAATGTTTGAGGTGACAAATTCTGAATGAAGCTGCACTGCCCAGTTCAATCCTGACTCTATTCTTTGTAGCCGTGTGACCTAAGGCAAGTCGCTTCGTCCCTCTGGTTAGGCTCCACATCTAAAGGAAGATAATAGCATCTTTCTCATAGGGTTGCTGTGAAGATTAATGAGTTAATTCACACATAGCATTATGGCACTTAGAGTTAATTCATATAAAGCACTGATGTAAAGAGATCAATAACAATGAACTCATTGTTGGTAGCTACCTAAACCCACCAGTCACACATCCAAAATTTAATATGAAATGTCTTTAATCTGAAACTATTTTGGTGTTCAAATTCTGAAAATTACCTAGTACTAATTCATAAATTTTCAGGTATACATGATCAAAAACAGGTTTTGTCATTTTATTTTGATTTGTCAGCTCTATGTGTTTTCCTACAGTTGACTCTTGAACAAATGGGTTTGAACTGCATGCATCCACTTATATGTGGATTTTTTTTCAATAAATATTGTTAAATGTATTTTCTCTTCCTTATGACTTTCTTAACATTTTATTTTTTCTAGCTTATTTTATTGTAATAATACAGTATATAAAACATACAAAATATGGTAATTGACTATGTTATTGGTAAGGTTTCTGATTAACAATAGGTTTATTATTAATAGAGTTTTGGGGGAGTCAAGTTATACACGGATTTTTTATTGCATGGAGGAGGGGTGAGGGTAAGCATTTCATGTTGTCCAAGGGTCAAATGTAGATTTCAGATGGTAGCAAGAAACATTTATACATTATACATCCTTTACTGTCTCTTTCCTCCACATATCACTAATTTTCTCCTTTAATTTACTAAGTCACGTGCATTTGTTATCCAAAGTTGCAGCCACAAAGAAACTTAAATTTATAGTAGGTTCATAACGTTTTATTTGCTCTAAAATTCATACTATGCACTCATTTCTGTTATACATTTCTACTTAAAATTTGCAAACATATTTTGTCTCAAAGGAACATTATATACTTACCAACTGAAGATAGAAATCGGTAGGACTATTTATATGACAAACCATAACTGAAACATCTGTCATTTCTTTAGGTAAAATAGGTGGATGATAGTGTAAAATCATATTTTTTTCAGAAAGACTTCTTGGTGAGTGCGACCTAAACCTAATAAAAAGAATAATTAAAAACATAAGCAGGAGCCATTTTCTTGAAGTCTCTTCTCAGTTACTTGATCTGAAGAAAGGACTTGCACATATACTGATTTATCTACCAAGAATATTCCCTTTCCAATTGCTCTCTTCTAACTTGTAACACTTCTTGGTATTGTCTTGGATTATCAAACCAGGTTAAATAAGATGTCAAACCCTGGCCAGTGTTGGTCAGTGGTTAGAATGTTGGACCACACACCAAAGGGTTGAGGGTTCGATTCCCAGTCAAGGGCACATACCTGGGTTGCAGATGTGATCTCTTCCCTGGTCGGGAGGCAGGCAATCAACTGATGTGCCTCTCTCAGCTCTCCCTTCCCCGCCCATTGCTATTCCACTTTCTCTACAGATCAATAGAAAAAATATCCTTGGGTGGGGATTAAAAAAAAAAGTCAAGTCTCAAAACTCAATAATTAACCTTCAAATTGGTGTTGGAGCATTTTCGAGCTGGATCTATAAGCTCTACTCATTGAACTGGTAACCACTCTGTGGTAGCAGTCAATGAGGACAGTTGTGTGCTCTCCATGTCTCCTCCTTCTGGCTCCCAGACTCTACTCTTATTTTTTCAGAATGGAACCTAGTAGGAACTTCTAGAGTTGTGTAATCACTCAGGACAGAAAGTATCTTCCACTATCTCTGTGGTAACTTAGTCACCTTGGTTCATCAGAGGTGAAGAAGGAAAGGAAGTTATAGTACCCATTCTAGAGCCATATATTAAATACCGAGTGGTTAGAATATTGAAGTAAGGAACTGTCAAGCTACAATTCTTGAAATCCTAGTATAGTTGCTTGTGATCTTATCAAGAGTATAAAAAATGTTCAGTGACTAAAAATAGTTTCTACTTTGAGGTACCTGACTTTCTCTATTTCCATAAATCAAATGATCTGAATGTAGTTTTCACAGACAATTTGTAATTAGAAAACTTGACAGCAATATTTTAACCTCTTACAGCAGTGGTTCTCAACCTTCCTAATGCCGCGACCCTTTAATACAGTTCCTCATGTTGTGGTGACCCCCAACCATAAAATTATTTTCGTTGCTACTTCATAACT